GATAGTTGTAATTCCGAGTTTGATGCGTATTTAAATGCCCGACAGAGTCATTGCGGACATTAAGCGGATCCCGGTCCGTGAAAGGTTGCGAAGGACGCTCGAAGGACGAAGGACGACGGCGGCCATTCCGACGCGCATTTAGGACGCCATCAAGTGGTATCGTTTCTGCGACGGCGTTATTGGGCCGGAATTGCGTTTGAATGGATTGAGCAAATGTTCATTTAGTCATTTCCCTTTAACTGTGAAGCCGAACGAGTTCATAAACTACACGAATAACTTACGCTTTACACATTACATTCAAAACATTGCTATTAAATCGTCAGTGAAACGATTTAAGGCGTTTTTCATTTATTTCGTGTTAAATTGAAGAAAAACATAAAAAAAAACACAAAAAATTTAAAACATTCCGAGAGGTTGTTTGAAAGTTTTGAAAATCAGCAAATCTCTTTAAAGACTTTTCATCGAGCTGATCAAACATGCAAAACTTGCATGCCCAGACACCTTTGATTCCTCACGCGGCTTGACCGCGCATGTGTAAATTCGGCGACTTACTGAACTCGGATCAAAGTCGCCGACAAACACGCCGAACTTCGTAACTTTACACGGTGCGCTCGTGCAACATTAACTCGGATAACTCGATTTTCCACGGCGCAAAACATCAGCCCCCGCGCGCACGACATGCGCGCCCACCGCTCACACCACCGCAGATAAATCTTTAATAAACGAAAGAGCGAAAATAAATCAAAAGCCAGACGCAACGCAATTAATTTCATCATAAAACATAACACATCCATCACAAAAACAAAAACACACATTTAATCGACCGAAAGTTGTTTATTTTCGGTGCTTCGCTGCTTTAAAACTCGTTTTTTCGGTAAAATATTATGAAATTAAACGCGTAATGTCTTAATTTAACACCAGACAGTTCGAAAGCATTCGTGGGTAGCTAATTAATTAAATTACACGTTCAATGGTGGCACTCAGAAGGTTCAATCGTTGACGATTAATTCCGTTCGTAATTAATGTAATAAAAGACGTTCGAAAAGCAATCAATTTGAATATTCGCGTTTTGGATGCGCGCAAATTTTACGTGACATTTTAAAATTTTGGCACCGATGGTGCAGTGGCGCGTCAGCTATAATTATGCATAATGAACGCATCGTAAAATGAAAATAATGAATGATTAATATTAATGCAATGTGTCTGCCTGCGCTTTCAACGCACGCTTGTTTCGCTTCAATGTTTTTCCGTATCAAATAATTCCGCGTGCAAATATTTGAGCGCGGGATTTTAATGAATGCACTGAGCGTTTGTTGACGAAGCGCAGCAAACATTCCAAATGTAATCGCGTAATAAATAAATAGAAAACAAAACCGCACTAAAAACACACTCGAGCGATCGTTGAAAACTTAAAAAACTGAAATTTGCAGTTAATTAAAATAAATTTTTTGACAGGAAACTTAAAAAATATGCTGTGATGAAGCTGGAAACGCGGAGTTAAAAAAAATTAACCGGGCGAGTTGAATTACGCGCGACCAAAGCAGTAAAACAAAGTGAACACTGAACACAATTAAGCAGCGCACTGCCTGCCCAGCCCAGTTTTTCTTTTACGACTCTCGGCTCGGCAGAAGAACGATTCGCGTGCGTGCGGCGCAGGAATTAAAGAAATTTCCTGCGTAATCGTCGGGACTGCGTTTAGTGCTTGTGCGCTTGCCATTTTAGTGTTTTATATCGCTCTGAGTGCTTCTTCCTTCCTGCGTAAGCACAACACTCGCGTTTTAACCTTGTTACAATTTGTGCAATTTTATTTTTATTGCTTTGTTTCATTATTTTTTAGTGTTGGGTAGTGTTCACACATAGTTTCTTTTCATTACATGAAAGGTATTTGGTTGTAAACAAGATTAAAAGTATGGTTACGTTGTTCAGGTTATGATTGCATCAACAGCGCCACCTATATTATAAAATTTTAGTTTTTCTTTATCTAACAATGTTTAAATTAAGTTTATTCGTAGAAAATTCAAGGAATTATAAGAAAAATAAATTTTGATTCATTTTTTACGCAAAAACGTTTAAAAATTAGAAAAACTCTTATAAATCAGGGATTATGACAGTTACAACAGCGCCACCTACGAAATAATATCTGGCAAAACTTTCAGCAATATAGTTTTGTTTCATGATTTTTAGTCTCATGTGTTCACAAATAGTTTCATTGCATTAGCTGAAAAATATTTGGTTGTAAACTAAATTAAAAGTAGGGTTATGTTGTTGAGGTTATGATATAAACATCAGCGCCACCTATATTATCAAATATTGCTTTTTTCTCAATTTATCGATGTTTAAATAATGTTTTTAAGTAAAAATTTCAAAGAATTCAAAGAAAAATAAAAATTTTAACAATTTTTAAGCAAAAAAACTACAAAATAACACCACCACCATAGAAAAACACCACCAATGATATAGTATCTGGCAAAACTTTTAGAAAACAATACAAAAATAACCTCAAATAAAGCTTTTAAATAACAGTATAATCCAGTTTAAAATTTTTCGAGTATAAATACATCTAAAATTGCAATAAAAAGCACCTGGGATTGTCCACCGTTTATAAACTTTATTCACTCAGAAAAGTTGCGCGCATAGGTGCTCATGTGTGGCAGGATAACGATGGAAGCTCGAGAAAATGTTGCTCCATTCGAGTAGTTCGCCCCGCTGATGCAGGAAATCTCGAAAACTCTCGGGCACAAACTTCGCCGTTCGAATGCTCCAAACTCTCAGTATGCGTCTCGAGAAATTCTTATAGGTAGTAGTACATTCCGTACTCGCCTTTGCATGAGTTCGATTTTCTGCAATCTGCATACGAATGAATGCCGAATGCTGGCGGGCGGATATTAATTGAAGAACGCGAAGCTGCAGCTTGCCGGATTTTTATGCTCCGCTTCGCAGTCGGATAAAATACTTTCGTTTTTATCAGTTTACGATTGGTTCAGCTCGAGTTTATTCGAGTTTTTGTGTGTTGTGCGACTTTAAGGTGGATTTGTGCACATTGAGCTCTTTTTTTTCCAACTGCGGTACACGCTGGTGAATCATAAAACTCGTTGCCGGATATTTTTCGCAAACTGCACGTGTTTGGCGTATAACTCACCCATTTGCTCGGTTATGTAGATGATTGTTGGGTTGCCTGCGATTTTAACAACACAACCTCAACCGAGGCAACGAAAAACATTTCTTTATTAATTTAATGAGTGTTTTACAAGTGTAATTAGGCGCGTGTTTGCGGCTGGTTTTTGGTTAATTCCGACAAAAATGAAAATTGCACGTGCCGTCATAAATTACGGCTCAATTTGGCAGGCGCACTTTGAACGGCATTTGCATACGTAACATTGCTGTGCGTGTCGCGTAGAATAAATAAAATGAAAAAACGAAAATGATGTGCGCTACGCGTGGCGGCCATAATCGCGCGGAAAAAAATAAAAACACGCAGAATAAAAGGCGCATTAAAACGCGCGCGCGGCGAAAGTGCTTCGGGATTAATTCGCCGTGACGGTTTGCATGGAAATCCACATGGTTGACAATTGCTTGCTTTCCGAGTAAAGATTTTTTAAATTAAAGTAAAATTTGTTAAATTTTCGCTATTAGCTAATACCTGTTAAAAGCATTTAATTCCACGTTTATAGAAACGTCATTTACTGGTAAAGAAACCTTTAAAAATATGAAAATAATTTCATTTTACTGCGAAGATTACAAAATTTCGCGTTTTCTGCGCAAGATTTTATTTTTTTAGATTTAAATTTTGTCATGCATGGAAATTTATGACGTCGTGAAGCGTGTGTACTCACTATTTCTACCTGGCGCTAAACTCCCGTCGCGTAACGCGGCAATTTCAGGATATTCGCATTTTATGTTTGTTTGCATACGCTCGCCCGCAGGAGATGACAAATAAATATCCTGTCAACACGGGAGACAATTTTAAATTCGCCCTCGTAAAAAGCACCTAAGTTAATTAAAGTTTCAGTTTCTCAAGCGGTGTTACCACAGGTATGAACCTGTTGAAGTGGCTCTGGAAAATTTGTGCAAATGTGAAACTCTGCACTCTGCAGCACGTTTATGACGGTTCGAGGTTACCATTTAACATTTGTTTGTCGAATCCGTTCGCTCCTCGTTCATTAACTTAATTTGGCCCTGCCGGCTCCCGCAGCGCGCGCTCTCCTCTCTCGACTGCACACGCTGATGTGTTTAACTGTATCTTCACTCTCGACGCCCGACTCTCGAACTGAAAGTACCCAGCGAAACGGTAACGAGCTGAAGGGTTGTGTGCGGGCGTCAGTGGTGGCTGGTGGCGAGCGGCTGCCTCGGAAGTTGCCGAGAGGAGAGGTATATCTGATTTAATTACAATGAATGTTGGCCGGACTTTATGGAGAGCTTTATTTTCGTTACTCGGTGCGCGGCCCGCCGAGGGAGTAGCGGATCGGTGCCATCCGCCCGGAGTCAATTACAGAATTATACGAGGAGTTAGTTGTCAAGGGATCCAAAGAAATTGAAACTGTGTGTTTTTTCTTTTACGCTTATCTAAAAATGTCCAACACTTCATCCAATATATCATAGTCTGCAGAATCAGTGTTTTCACTTTCGCCTTTCACTTCTTTCACGACCTGCGAGGATAAATGTGAGTCCGTGAACCCTTTTAGGGTCTGCGAGTACTACTACAGCTGTAAAGAACAATTTTCACGCCGCGCTGGAAACTCATACGCATATTTTCCGCGTCATAGATTTCGTCGGGCTATTTTCCTATTCCCGCCCGCCGTTTGCTTATCGCCTCTTCTCGGCGTCACTTCCGTTCGGCGCTGTGGACCGGACGAAATGCGTCTGGTGTATACCCTTCGAGATCCAAACGAACATCAACCTGTCTACGAACCCTTTTCCACGGATTGTCAAGTCAACAAATTTAAACAAAATTTTTCAAAAACAAAAAAGTTTCCGGTTTGTGTAAAAATATCCACACTCACCTCGACTGAATTGCTTGTACTGCCTGATAACATTCTCGGCATTCTTGCGCGCGATGTAGAACCACTCGGAAGTGTTGCTCAGATACTTGTACTCGACGGCGAGATCCTTCACGAGAATCGCCCCCTCGGGCAGGCGGTAAGCGTAGGGGCAGAAGAGCCAGTAGTCCTTGTACTGGTACTGATCGTAGCAATTGCCAGCGGCGAAAATATCATCGTCAAATTCGACCATTGAAAAAACGGACGCATGCAGGAGATACTCGGAGAGTACCACATTGGGATCGGCGTACTTCCACAGGCGGGTTAGCATATTGGCCCGGTTGACCGCCAAGTCCGCCTCCATCCGGAAGCGTTCCTGCGCGTACCGATCCACGACACCCTCACCCAGATTCAAATCCGTTCCAGCTGTACAATTTTCCCCAAGCAAATGCTGTGATTCGACAATTCTCAAAAATCTGGTCACAATATCCACATGCCCAGATCTTGGACCTTCCGTGAAGGATATTACAGTTTCTTCATCAATATCCGCATCGAAATCCTTTTCTGTGTCTATGTAGGAATCAGGGATCTGTGGTTCTTGAGGTTCCTGGGACTGATCTTCGTTTGGGTCTTGTTGGCCAGCGTCATTCAAGGCCAGGTTCTGGTTGTTGTCTCTTATTAGGGGTTTGCGTGTCGAGGGCTGTTTATGATGCAGCGCACGATCGCCCATATACAGGACACTTTTGTCCAGTGACCAAGTGTTGTTCATTTTCGTCGCGGGTTGAGTAAAGTTACCATCTACCGTAATTCTACGATTAGTCCCTTCGTGACTTTCTGTGACATTTTTCTTGGGAGGTTCTTTCTCGTCTTCAGGGGTGGGTTTCACGCGGGTACTGAAATGATACGCCTTGTTGGAATCCTTTTCAGTTTCCTTGACACCCTGGTCTAACATAACTGAAGTATAATCATAAGTTGTCGACAAGGGTTCGTAAACCATCGTGGGCTCAGCGTCATCATCACTGGTATCTTCCTTAATTAATTTCAACTGTTCCTCATGCCGTCCGGCTCGTAATAATCGAGCCCGTGATCGCTCATGACGAATTTGTTCACCGTTCACTAATAATAACAGAAACATCAACAGGAACACTTGGGGACACTTCATTTTTTTTTTGCTTGTTTATTGTTGGTGAACACAGGTTAATTTTAATGTTAATGAAAGTTTCGTTAAGTTGGCGGGGTGCATAGCGCGCGAGTACGCGACAACACGAGTCTGCGTAATGAGGGGGTTGATGGTTCAGCAGGACGACCGCCACGGTAGCGACGTTGCGCCGTACTGAAGGACGCGCGAGCTCGCGCTGCTTGGTGGTGGAGAACGCGGGGGCGGCGAGTGCGCGAAGGAGAACCGCCACCAGGATGCAGTGATGCTCGGGAGGGCGCCACGCGTCAAAAAGATTTCACCTTCTTTGCTAACTATTTTGTTGATGTTATAACATCAACAATAGTAATTAAAATAAACAAACCTAAAAGTTATAAAATAAATAAACAATTAATTTCAATATTAAAATTAATATTAAGATCTAAATTCAAACTGGATTAAAAGAAAAATATTTTTTGTTTTTCAATTGTCTAAAGGTGAATCCATGGATTCCCATCGCAGGACTTTTGTATGTGTATGCTAAACGAACCTGTTGCTTCCTGCCAAAGTGCCGAAGACTCAAAGGGGATGTGTGCGCGCGCGAGGAGTGCCGGCGACAGATAACCGTAACATAATAAAATCTGTTTGCCCAGTGCAAATATAAAAAAGACAAACAATACCACCTCTGATCCCATCGTTATGCCTATCAAAAATCTAAATATATGCGGGCAACGGTCCACAATTGAAAGGCGGCAATAAAAATCGACGTGTTCGGACCTTATCGTGACAAGACGGCGCTTTATTACAAATCGAATCAACAAATCAGCAAATCTCCACGCGGAGACTTGGACAATCAGGAGGAAAGGAAGATTAATGGGGAAGTAGTTGAGTCATCGCATAGCGCCACGTCCACTTGCGCGCTGTGTCGTCGTAGCGCAATCGGTCAGTCGCATAAATTTCACCAATTTTCGGTTCCATACAGACCTGCAAGCAGAAAAACAGAAATATTCGTTGAAAGAAAATTATTTAAGCAAAAATTACGTTATTTATTGCAGAAAATGTAATTTATGCTCCTCCCCTTTGATTACTGCGCATGCGCGACTAATAAAACATAAACTGACTATAAATTTCACAAATTTTCGGTTCTATATAGATCTGCAAATAAGAAAACAAAAATATTCGTTGAAAAAAAATTTATTTAGCAAAAATTAAGTTTTTTATTTCAAAATACGTAATTTGTGCTCCTCCCCTTTCATTACTGCGCATGCGCGATTAATAACACATAAAATGACAATAAATTTAGCCAATTTGGAGATATGCAAACAAAAAATAAAAAAATTCGTCTAAAGAAAATTATTTAAGCAGAAATTAAGTTTTTTATATCAAAAAATGTATTTTAAGCTCCTCCCCCTTTATTACTGCGCATGCGCGACTAGTACAACATAAAATGACTATAAATTTCACCAATTTTCGGTTCTATAAAGACCTGGAAACATAAAACAAAGAAATTCGTTGAAAAAAAATAATTAAGCAAAAATTACGTTTTTTATCGCCAAAAATGTAATTTATGCTCCGCCCCTTTGATTACAGCGCATGCGCGACTAATAAAACCTAAAATTTGCTAAAATTAAATTAATATAACAATTTCCAAAGTTTGAGTGAAGAAAATCAAGCGCAAAGTAAGTACCAAGCACGAAGAAAGCTAATAAAAAAGTAATATTCAAACGAGCGTAAGAGAGCCGACGCAAAGTACGTGTTACCAGTTAGCACATCCTAGCTCGTCCTACTTAAAACCTCCACTCCATCGCGCGTCTACATAATGTGCACGCTTTTCGCCGGCGTAAGCGTTTCTTTTGTCCGAGCTGTGCGAGTCATTGATTGAACAACACGCCGCGATAAATTCGCGCGCGCAAAATGTGCACAAATCCTCTCCTCGCGCTGCCAGTCGTCGTCAATAAATATTTTGCGCGTGCGTACGAAAAGTAACGAACGCAATTATAAACTAGTATCGTGTAAATTTCGAATTTCGCCATCATTAAAGCCTCTCACCACTGCGTATCTAATGACGCAGCATATGGCCGACGGTTTTACGTACATTTAAACGTCTGGCCATGCTTCGCATGGTAAGATAATGATAACTCGGCGCTTAAAACTTTAAGCGGAACCCTTCGCGGAACCATTTTCGAAATTTCCATCTCGTACATCTTACAACGTCAATTTCCAGCGTTGTGCGAATGTGGAAAGTTGATAATATCAACGCGGTGGAAAATGAGCGGAAGCTGCCCCAAGCTGACGACGTCGTAAATTTGTCGCGTGGAGGATTAATCCTCATAAGTAAAATTCAAGTTCTACAGAGAAAACAGATAGTTTTTCCAGTGTCACATTTCATTTGTATTTCATCCGCACGCAAACGAGACAATGTCATTTATCATCTTGGAAGTGCACGTGGGGTGCAACTGCGCTTTTCGTTGTGCGCGTTATTTTTTCCGCCGCCGTTCACGCCGGTGAAATAAGTATAAGAAGGAATAAGTATGCGATAGCGCAAAAACAGGTCGTAAATCACGCGATTACGTCCGAAATTTCCTTCGTTTAACGAGTTTCGCCAGCCTGGGTTACTTACCTTACTTACCTGCTGCCTACCCCTTTATCTCAGCCGGCGATATGAAAATTACAAGTGTTGCAATCACACTTTGCCGAAATAACGCGGAAACGTCCAGAATGGAAGCTAATTAATTGAACATTTTTCTTTTATTGTGTGCTAATTTCCTTTTAGTTTATTTCTGGGGAAATCTTATCGTAATTATATGTAGGAATAGTGCTTTTATTCTAATTACATTTTATCACTATCGGATTATCAACATTTTTGCAAATAGCCTTAGAAAACGAAATTGTATGGTAGTTATGCTCCGCCTATACATGCGACAACTAAGCAGAGTGTGACCAATGAGTGCGCGTAGTTTAAACTCGCGCATGCGCAGTAAGCACCTTGTGTACTATTATTACCATAATTGTATGGTGTTTTTTGTGTGTTTCCTAATAACTAGCACTTTTTGTAATTTTTTTCCTTTCCAATTTATTTCCTTCGTTTTTCCTGATTCGTTTTTCCTACAATATCGTAATATCTAAATATCCAAATCGGCTTTCTGGTCAATTTTTGGCCACTTTGAAAATTACCATCACTACCACACACACAGGTTCAATTTTAGATCGATCGATTAAGAAAAGGCCTCGCGCGCGCACGTCTCGGCCGCGACCTTCCCACTCTCGGCACTAATTAGCACTCCATTAACGAACAAATAACGCATTGTGTAACCAGCTAATCGATGCCTACTTCGTCCGCGCTGCCGACTAAAAATATCGCGCGTTACGGAACGATTGTTGCGGTTCTCCCGTAACGTATACGGAAACACAAACAATAAACACGTATTTAATCGCAGTTTCCCCTTCGGTTTTTCTTCCATTCCATTAGGGAGGAAACAGAAGCGGAAATATCAAAATTCATACAAGAATAGAACGAAGAAAAGTTTTGTTTTCGTTTGTGATTCGTTTTCGGCTACAGTGAAAGTTTCAGGTGTCAGAATATCATCGGTTATTTAATACTCCTGCAGAGGATATTCTAGAAGAGTGTTAATCTAGTTTACAAAATAGTTTGCGTAAAAAGTCGGTAAATTTTAACTTTTTCTGGCGTGGAGAACGAAAAAATTGATTCCAATGTTGATTTCTATGTCCACGCAATAAAAGCCTTCAACTCAATATCCGGTGGCTCAGTATTCGTAATTTTTCGCATATACAGCGTCCCTACGCGCGTTGATCTAATCTTTTTTCCCGGAAATTTGAATTTATCAAAAGAAAGCTACGGAGCTGCTTTTGACATTCACAAACAACAAAAATCTAAAAAATTATATAAACATGTTCAAAATTCAAAAAACAACTTATTTTAATGCAGTTTTGTTCATTTTGCTCCGCCCACATGTGTCATATACCTACGCGCATGCGCAGTAATACATTTCGTAAATATCTTAATAAGAATCAGCTCGTATCTTATTGCTTTTCATTTCCTGCATCTTATCGACAAAATGAAACATTCCTACATCCAGACACAACAAGAACTAGAAAAAAAAACTTTCCAATTGAATGAAAACTAATCTTCGTTTTCTGCTATACTATAGCATAGAAGATTTTTTGCAATTTAATCATAGCAGTTGTCTCACTTATCGCAAATCGAAGCAAACCGAGCGGAAAATATTTGAAATCCGAAGTCAACAAAACAAGTTCATCGAGTTCATCGAGTTTTCCGCCGTCCGAGTTCAAGGCTTGCGCTGCTTGGCATTGCAGATTAACAACTATCGCACAAGAGATACGAATGCGAATGTATATACACGGAATACTCAACTCGAGATAGTTTAGTTTAGCATACGTATCGAATGCGGTCGTGAGAGGTGGAAGGCGGCGGCTGCGGCTTGAAGTACCAACGAACAAAACTTAATCCTCGGCGGAGTGGCTCACCAGCTATCGCGTTACTTAGTGTAACGATAGACCACTCGAACGCGCTAAATACGAACGCATTAGTCTTCCCCGCAAGAGTCAACTAAGTCATCGATTAGCATACGATAACATCACGAAACTAAAATGTTGCACAAATTACTTTTTATATATTTTTTTATTTTTAGTTTGATTGATGAGATACACCATCAAATATCGAATTAATGAGAAAAATGAGCAATTTGATTCGGCTGCAGCTGGTTAATGACCATCACTGGCGAAAAAATGCGCATTACACGAAAAAGCAATAACGGCCAAACGCGACACCGCAATAAATACGCGATGAAACGATGCGATGCAGGTGTGTAGGAAGCGATAAAACGAGATATCATCGTGCGCGCCTTGTCAAACGCAAAACGCGCAAGCAAAGTGAAGAACTCATTAGTTATTCGCGATCCGCGCGCGCGCCCGACGCCCGCCGCTGTTCATTAATTAATATTTTGTCAAAATAGATCGATAGCGCGCAAATTTCGCAGCAAACTTAACGAAATTTGTTTTACGCAGAAGGGCGTAATTAATTTTCGTATACGCGCCCGGCGACAAGCGAGTAAAACGCGCTGGCAGTAGTAGTGTGGCGGCGGCGACGCCAGCCAAGATGTATTAAACGATTACTTTGTTGTACGGGCATCCGTTTTACGCGCTGCCATGCACCGGAATGTTTAATCTTTTGCGGCGGGGCCGAGTTGAAGTTTGATGAGATGGATTTTTAGCCAATGACGCTGATCCGGAATTAATTTTCCACTAGCGCAAAAAATACTTGTTATTTTCGCTAGTAGATGGCGTATGTAGACAAAAGGTAAAAATGGCAGGCAGTTTAAAATTTTTCACATTTCCGGAACGCGCTAAGCACTAAGAAAAGCTCTCCACTTCCCACAGCGTGCATTTTTCGCATTCCGCAAATTTATTTTCCGCCTAATAACCGCTGCATCCTTCTTTCGCTTAAAAAGCCACCGGCAGATAGCGGAGTTTATCGTGTCGCAGGCAGAGAATGAAATAAAACGCGCGACGAAATAAAGCAAACTATTTATTTCGCGAGACGGAGTCGCACTATCCCGCACCACCCACGCTGCCTATCCGATTCGCGATCCCATTTGCGCGCAGCGTTTTGCATTTTACAGGCGACGGCATAAAAGTGCTTTATACGCTTTTATTGTTCTGCCCCGTTTTCGGGCAGCAGTAGCGCGCTGCAGAGTCTATTATATTTATCGCGTAGGTTTTGTTCGCTATGCAAACGAAAAGGTCATTTAAGCGTCAGTGAATTTTCGAAAAATCGTCATTTAGCGTGCGCGGCCACTTAACTAGGAGTTGTGCGCGCCTTCCTTAATGTTGTAACAATTAAGCGCTTGGAGACATTACTCGCCGAAAAAAGTGCCGCCCGAATAAAACTATCGTTAAATTGCGCGCTGTGCGAGTGGAGAGAATACTGGAAAAAAGCGTATACGCTTTGTGCGGCGGGCGCATGGATAGAAAATTGCATTTTAAATAACGAGCACTACGCTAGTGAAAAGGTCGCTTTAATTTTGCCGCGTCAAAGGTTCGGTGTGATTATTCGATAATATCTGGCGCGCTGGGTCGAGGCCCATGCCCATAAAAGGCCAGCGGTACTATCCGCCGATTCTTTGTTCTCATCAGCGCATTTTGTTTCACTTTTCGTGCATATTTTCGATTAGCATTCAAAAGCAATCTGCATTCGAAACATTAAAGCCGATGATGTTATTTTTAAAATACATACGAATCACTATGTTCGATACTTATACCGCATCTCCAACATTGGCGTTTTTCACGTTTTTCACGTTTCTATTTGACACCACTTTTAATTCTCCACACAAAGCAAAGTTGTTACAAAAGTACACGTACACGGTATTCTTATACGGAGTATTATCCTGGATAATCCCGCTGATATGGAGCGTAAAAGCGCTCATTCAATATTACTCACGAAAATGAGCTCCCGGAATGCGAATGAGAATACTACATTAAAAAGCAACCACTGTGTATGAACCCGAAACTTTTTGCTACGCCAGGGTATCGATATTAGCACAGAGTGAGCCAAAGAGCTACTTACTCACACCCACACCCACGCCCTTTTCACATTGCGTGTACACCTCGCTTCGCACATCACACACAACCCCGCGCACAGTTCGTTTGTGCACTTCATTGTTTATTTTCACTTTGTGTTTTGCGCCGCGAGCTTTGTGTTTGTGTTTCTTTCTGCGTTTGTTCGGCGGCAGATTTTTTCCGCTTTCGTGTTTTTGTGATGCGCCGCGTGATGATTCCTTTAATGTGTGAAAACTGAATACGTGCCTTCTGTGTGCAGCACACGTTTGGTTATGTTTTGAGCAACACTGGCAACAGTAGTATCCGCGCTATCTACTTTTATTGAATTACACCTAAATCCACGGCTGCTGCGAATATCAACGACGGCTGCGTGTAGTTTTCGATTCGCAGCGAATGATACTCATTAAAAATTTAAACTCGCCAAAGGTTGCAGCGAGCGAAAATGCATAACTAGATTTCGCTGCACGTTCGGTTTTTTTGCTAATGCTTCATTTAATTACGTTTCTCGAATGTAGTTATCTCAATTTATATTATGGATGCCTTTGCTGTACGTATTTAAGTGCTATTCATGCTAATTTGTTATTTTATCTACTTTATATCGATCAAAGTGAAGAAATTTAATGATTTTTAACATAAAAATCTTCTCCAAAGCTTCTTTTAAAAATAATTTTTTACTTTTTTCTATTTTTCTTACAAAATACAAGCTGTATCGTTATCAATTTCCACTCGATTCGCTCTAATTAGTTGTTTTCAATAGCAAGCGTTTCTTTTCTTCACAAATTGTGATTTTTCCGCACGGCAACAGAATCTCGCCAGAGTTTTCCGCGGTCCGCGAAAATTGTTATACGACGACGACGCTCCAGGTTTGATTGAGTGCGCGTGACGGCGGCATAAAGCGAACTCGCTGCGCGACGAATTATGGCCGCACATAATGGCTGACAGGAAAACGTGCGAAAGTTTTTCCACTTTTATTCACACACAACAACAATGGCGGTCGCCGTCATATTCTGCTTTTATCTACGGCACCGGCGCGCAATTTTTAAGCGTCGCGACAAATGATTAATTCTAGTTGTTTATTTTGTGTGTTGAGGTGAAAGTTTAGTGGGCGCCTAGATGCTCTTATAAATCGCGACGTCATAGATATAAATAATTCACTAACTTCCTTGTTTGGGGACTCGGGGAGTCACAAAAAGGAGTTTATGTGCTGGCGCACATTTGTCCTGCGATTGCACTCGACGGAGGCGGCGTAGGCGGCGATTGCATTCGTAACTGCATTTCCGACTACACAGGATGTAGGTGTAGACCTTTTCTATAAAGATATATAGTAACATGCAACTAAAGTTGATGATTTTCTTATGTGGATATAGGCAACCCAATTTCCAGCAATTTGCGCCCTCTGGTGGCTTTAGCCAACGCCAACCCGTAAACTTCAGGGTATTTAAGATGAAATTAGATATAAAATATAACTTTATTGCGGGTGCGCTCTGGTGCAGTCCGGGCCCCGTCCGGTGGGAATCACCTTCGAGCGCAGTTTGCACCATTTTTCGGACGCGCACGGCATTTGCTTCCCATTACGCACAACTCAACTTCTTATCGCGAGATAAACTTTCCGCCAGCCATAAACACCAAGAAGCCCACCCGGCCCCGGCGCTCATTTAAGCAATGCCCCTAAATAATGAGAAACACTCCCGGCGAAAGTTAAATATCCTTTGTGGCGAGCGGAGTGCCTTAAGTTATTCAACAATTTGCCGCATTTACATAATGTTGAACTTCTTTCATACGCGCGCGTTTTCAATGAGGAAAAATTTGCGAATGTCATCAGAAATGTTCAACATTTTCACTTAAAAACAGCGCTATAAATATTAAAAATGCCTTGTTTAAATTTACCAATGCGAAAGTGAGAAAATAATAGGCGACGACTTGCGTTTCCACTTCATCGCGTCGGTTTCTCATAAAACTTGCAAAGTTATTTTAATGTTTTCAACCGGAGCACGAGCTTTAATTTCAAGCATCACAGGAGCAGACCAAAGTAGCGAATAGGAACGTAGTTACAGAACTAAAGAGACACTTTCTGTCTGCGCACGAGTATTAATGACATTTTTATTTGTTTACTTTGATCGTTTTATGTACGTCTACAATGTCATACAATGTGTAAGATTGTTGCCAACGGAGAAAATTTAGTATTCGCGACTTTTAGACTGCTGATACAAATTTTTTAAAGTAAGTTTATCTTCGGTTGCGGATATCTCGTAAACTAAAAGGGCTAGAGATCTACGAATCAAAGAATATGAAAGTTAAAAAAATTCTTTAAGAGATAAAATAATAACACTTATAAATTTCGTGGGACAAAGGTTCAGAAATCGTGATTAAGGGTGCTAATTTGGGATTTTTTTTTAATTTTTTCATTTTTTTCTCCAATTTTGCTAATATCTCGTGAACTAAAAGCGATAGCAGCCAACGGATCAAAGAATATGAAAGTATGGAAAATTCCTCATAAGACAAAATAATAACATATATAAATTTGTTGTAGTAAAAGTTCAAAAATCGTGACTAAAAGTGCTAAATTTCTGAGTGAGAATTTTTTAATTTTTTCTCCGTTTTTTTTTTTGCAATTGCGAATGTCTCATAAACTAAAAGCTATATAAAGAAACGGATTTAAAAATCCGAATCCTCGGAAAATTCTCTATAAGGTTAACCAAAAAATGCGGAGTGTAAAGGTTCTGAAATCGTATTTAAAAGTCCTAAAAAGTGGACATTTTCATTTTTCGAGAATATTCTTCGATTGCGAATATCTCGTAAACTAAAAGAGATTGATAGGAACGGATTGAAAATTCTGAATCCTCGAAAAATTCTCTATAAGATAAGATATTTAAATCATTAAAATTTGAAAAGACAAAAAATATTTTACCGAAAAACAAGCAATGTTTTAAAAACCCAACAAAACTACAAAATGTCGCTCGTATTTGAAGTAAATCCTAAGAAGAAGGAATAGCTCCCTATTTTTTATGCACCCGTAAGTCAACGCAACACCGAATGTTAAATTACCTGATTATGCAACATAAATAACCCCTGCCTGCCTACACCGCCGGGTTTTCTGCACTTCGGGTCGATGAGAGGCTTATTTTTTCCAACATTACTGCGACTCCGACCTAGTGCACTTTTTAGCGCCGCAACAAGAAAAGTTGTGACATGAAAAAAGGCGCCAAAAACGAAGAAAAAAACAAGCCGTGCCCTCTCGGCCGTTGAAAAATACGCGCGCCGTAAAGCGGAAAAGCGAGCGGTGGTCCTGAATGCAAGTGCAAGCATGCGGCTAATGACGTGAAATAAAATATCGCCGACGGGTCGAATATTAATGGACGGCGTTAAAGGCCGGACACCGGACTCAAAAGTTTCACAACTTCAAATTGTATTCACGCGCCAAACGACTACTTTTGTTGCTTGTGTATGCGTGTGTGTATTACCACAAATTAAAAGTTAAAACATTAACGTTCAAACGCAATGAGAGAGAAGAAGAAAAAAGATTCAATTAGTCGTAATTTTGCCTCTGGTGGCGTTTTTCTTGCGTGTACATCAGCATCAGTGATACGGCTCATTACGTGCGTTTTAATTGCGCCATTCAGGTTGGTAGTCGGGGCGCGAGCGGCGCATTATTACCCTCATCTCGACGGATAATTAGCGCGCCGCTTCAATAACGAATACGCGTCGTGGTAATTGAATCGCCGTGCGCTCGTACACCAAAGTGCCCGGAAAGATAAACAGGCATTCCGCGTTCGCATTGATATCGCATTGAATGCATTTCAAATCGCATTATTGCAAGTGAACGCAATTAAAGCACAAAAAATCCATTCGGTTGGCGTTTTTTGCACTTCAAAAACCCACTAAACTTGGTAATCGAAGCGCAGCAATAAAACTGTTGATATAAAACGTTGATTTTTCATCAGTTTATTATTTAATAGAATTGAGTGCTTCAGCGATGTATTTTATAACAAATATTAGCGCATATTGCAATTGCAATCTCGAAATCAAACAATTCGTGTATTTACTCTATCATGTCATGCTCAAATATCATATGAACGCAAATATCACTCGTTACAATCAAAAAATGCGTCCAATTCGTGGTGAAATACATATTTTAATTGGAGTATCAAAATATACTTCAAAATTATTAACCTTTTCATCAATATATTTACTTTTGTCGTTAAAAATAGCAAATAAAAGCAAAAATAACACGATTTTTAACGAAATATTTAAACTCACCTCACAAACTGGATCAGTAAGCAGACTCTGTATCGAAATCAAAACCTTGCTGATGGTCAACGCCAACGACCAGTTATTCCCAATGGAGTCTAAGCCAATATCGCCGTGCCTCGAAATGTTCGGATGATAAATCCGTGTGATAAACCTGACCACCGGCGGAATCATCGGATAATCCAGTGAAATATACAAATAGAGGAAGAAGATGCCGCCTTCGTACGGACTTCCTTGCGGGCCACGAACACTGGCTATCCAGTGACAATACTGTTTGTCAATCGGATGCGCCTGGATGCCATCGGGCGGATCCATTCGCAACGATTTCAACTCGTTGCACAACCGACGCTGTCGCCAGTGGTTGTAATCTTCGTTTTCTACTTTGTGAAGCGCAATCTGACGCAGACATTTAATGCAGCAGCTGCTTTTTGTCAAAGATGAATACACCTAGCATAAATTTAAGCATTAACATCGTGGAAATAGTTTATATGAGGGAAATATTACTTCAAACCAGTCTTTAATCTGCGCGCCAGCACAGAACTCAAACAGCGGCCATCTTGTTGTTACCATGTTCTTCCAGTAATCAGGGGTGGTTACTCTTCTTGTAATGATGGCCCGCCATCTTGGGTTTACCAGAGCTGCAGCCCACATTGATAAATCATCGAGGTATGACAATGTGAGCATCATAACTGCGAAAAAAGCAAAATTTTACATTATTTTATAAATCTAATGGATTTTATTGATAAAAGTGATAAAAATCAATTCACCACTCTTTATTATTACATATTTATTAATTATTTCATGCTTATAACTGTTTTATTTAAGTTTTTACTGATTTGTCTTACCTTCTGGTGGCAGTTGCTCAATATCAACAACTTTAGCTGGAACATCAACATTTTCCTGCATGGCAACTAGTGAATCATTACCAGAATTTTCACTCCTGTCATTATCTTCCACTGGTTCATCATTTCCTGAATCCTCATCATCTTTTTCCTCTGGTAGACAAGTCTTGTAGATTTTGTGTGCAGTCATGTTTGGGTTTGTGAGAAGAAAAGAGTGGCACATTGGACAGATTGGATCCTCGTAACAAGGTCCATAAAAACCATTGCACATAAAGCAGGGTTGAAATTGCTAGAAAGTACACCAAATAATTAGTAATTGAAGTTTATTTGCTGGATTTATTTGACTTACAAGCTCTGGTGTCTCATTAATGTCAAATGATTTGTTGTTATCACCTCCACTGGGATCGTCATTGTTCTGCGACGATTTGCGATTCATACTTTCATCGTCCGGGCCCATTTTATTCGAGTTTTCACTGGGGAATGTTGTATTCAATATATCAAAACAATTCAATGCATATTGTTTACATATTTGAGATAGCGTCATATGTTTTTGGCAGGTCAACGAAAAGTGCGGTTAAGTTTTCTTGTCAAAGTTGCGCATCAAAATACAAACATTAATTGCGTCTTTTCTTAATTTCTACATGAATTTATATAAAATACAACTAATTTGGTACAAAATAAATCCAAAATAATTAATATTATATGCCTAAGACTTATATATTTTAATAAAACAAATTTAAAATTATGTTTGAGTTCAGTAATCGTGAAAGTTCGTGAAATTTGTACGTGTATTACGTGTGTCATATTCAGACATTTTTATTGGTTTTCATGTTTATATCGAACAAAATTTAATAAAAACAGCAATAAATCAACCCCTACAATAATATACACCCATCATTTAGTAAGTAATATCAATACAATATTAAATTGTGACTGTTTTGATGTATTAATTGTCTTCAATCTAGAATAAAATAATAATTTGTTCACTTTAAGAGGTTATGCTGGTGAGAAATTTAATCAAACTTGGAAAATAGCTGTGAAAATTAAAAATGAATAAGAGGAATTCCTTGCCAATGCCGGCAAACCACCCTAAAGATTGCATGTCCGCAGCAACGAAATGTTACAAGTATATGAGAAGGATGTTTAAGTTTGATCAAATGGACTTTGAGTTTGCATTTTGGCAAATGTTATATCTACTTATTTCACCACAAAAAGTTTACAGAAATTTTCAGTACAGAAAAAGTATGTTTACTATTAAATTTATTTCAATGTTTAATGTTATTAAGTGTTGTTATATAATTTTAGCTTCAAAATCACAGTTTGCAAGAGATGATCCAGCATTTTTAGTATTATTTGCTGCATGGCTGTGTGGTAAGTTTAAATTTCACAAAATATGATGTAATATTACATATTTTATGGTTTTAGTGACATCAATTGGTTTTGCATTAGTTTTAAGATTAGGATTTATACAATTTATTGTTTTTCTGCTGTATGTTATCTTTGTGGACTGTATATTTGCTGGCATTATAATAGCCACAATATTTTGGTGAGTTTTCTTTGTAAAACAAGTGAAAGGAACAAAATAATTCATATTTTGTTTGTAGGTATGTGTTGAATAAGTATTTTCGACACAATACGAATGATTTAGATGTGGAATGGGGCTATGCGTTTGATGTGCATCTAAACGCATTCTTTCCACCTTTAATTCTGTTACATTTTTGTCAATTATTCTTTTATAATGGTAAGTCACATATTATCTGATTGAACGTGAAATATTTATTAAGATAGTGTTTATCTGGGCGATTTTAATCAATATTTACCAATTTTTTTTACACAAAAATAGCTAAAACCTTTGAAAAATGCATTTTTCTTGTTTTAGGATTGATAAGTCATGAATGGTTTGCATCCCGCTTCCTCGGAAACACATTCTGGCTCGTCGCTTGTTCATATTATGTATATATCACGTTCCTAGGCTACAGTTCGTTGCATTTTCTTCGTCGGACGCAAATAATCCTTGCGCCACTTCCACTGCTCGCCATTTTTTACATCATTAGCCTCACTGGTGGCTTCAACATTACACATATGATGATGAATTTCTATAGAGACCGCGTTGTATAGAAATTAATATACAAATTACATCTATTCAGTAAAAATAACACTTAGGCTAGTGTTTTGTACAGTATCATATAAAGAACGAAGCAAAACGAAAACAAAAACTGAGAAATATTAATAGGTATGTTGCGAACATAAATTTTAATTTATTTAATACCAAAAATGTTTCAGTTTGACTTTTAATACATAGTAAACTAACATAAGATATGAAAACAATAAGGTATTGTAATTAATAGAAAACAAATAAGAAAAAATTGAGTTTATGGCTTCTTGTGTCCTTGGACTGAAACTAAATTGTTTTTTCCTTCAATTGCAAAGCTGCATCTTTCAGCAATTGTAGCAGAATCCACTCTTTCCCTGTTTATGCTGGATTTTCCTGTTTTAATACTGCTTTTCTTACTTCTGGAAGTGGAATATGATGATGCAGAAGATTGATAATCCATCTTTCTGTTCAGTGGTGGATTATTTCCTGTTTTTGAGTTGCTTTGTGAGGAAGTCGATACAGTAGAGTAGTTTATTGAATAACCAGGCTTGTATGAAGGTTGCTCAGCACTAGAGTCTGAGCACCTGCAACAACACCTTAAACTACTCTAAACTTTATTGAATCAGTTAAAATTGTGTTAGTTTTAATACTTTTTAGACATAATAGGATTATGACATGCTTCAAAACGTTTGAAAAGCTTAGAAAATGTAGGCAACGCAATATCGCGATAAATTAAGTTGGCAATCGTTGCTGCCGCACTTTTTTAGAGGTTAGAAATTAGACCGTTATGGCGGTTAACGTTTGTTGGTGATCGGTGCTCATTATTTTAAAAATTATTCATTAAATATCAAGATTTAAAGTTAAATTTTAGTGTTAATTGGATGTTCAGTGGGTGATTGAGGCTAGGAACAATCATTTGCGGCGTGACACAAGGTAAATTTTGACAATTTCATGTTTTACTTTCTATGATTATTGTGTTATGCCTAATTCCGATGCGCATCTCTTAAAAATTAAAATGTATGCTATAAAATACATAACCCGGCCATATTTTAAGCATAATTAGTAGAATTCATACCAAATTCATAGTTGTGTGTGTTTCAACAGCTGATGAAAACAATAACAAATACTTTGACAATATTTATTTGTAATAAAATTTACACATTGCAATAAAAAAGACTTGGAACTGAAGAGATGCACTGATCATCATCATTGTAACAAACAAACAGTTGCAAAATATACACAGGTAAACAAATGTGAAATTAATCAACGAATATCATCAATTAATCCCCATCAATAATAAATCACAGAGTTGCAGAATGTCTGCGCGCAATATTTCTCGCTAAATGACATGACTTGGCCGTGTTTCATTCATTGGACAACAACGTATCTCATAAATAGTATGTACATACAGTAAAAATTAAATATTTGAGCATTACGTATTGCGCGGTCGCAATCAATCAATTTATGGCTGATTAGGAACGGAATCAAGTAATAAATTCATTGTAACTATACTCAATTATATTCGATTGAACGAAAATTGTGGCCCGCGCGCCTTGAATCTATGACTAAATATTGTTGCCTTGTTTTTATCCTGTTTGTATACAATATACACAATTAATTACCTTACAAGTATCCTTAAGACTATGACATAAGTGACATTCACTTCCACACATGTTATGGACACGCTACTTGACCAAACTCCGTCGAGATATTATTTCTTATTCGCTTTCCGGTTTCATTCTCATCGTATGAAGTCGCTGCTTCATGTCTTTCATAGCTTTCTTCTCGTAATGTGTTGTATGCTTAGTGATAATAGATTAGCTTACTTCACCTTTGACTTAATTCTATATACTTAGAGTTTAAAAATGTACACATTTGTAGCAACCTAATACGAATCTTTGGATTAAGTGAGCGCTCGTCCGCCTGGCTGCCTCCGGTTTCCATCGCAATTTTGCTGACACCAGACGCGTTTCGTATCATTAGTTGAATTAATTATCTTTTGGTTAGAGATGCTGGTTCATCTGGGGCCTCAAACGCATTCGGTACCTCCGGATGTTAATGGTTCTTGCGCCTAAAAAGAAAAATCATCATTATCTCACTTGTAGTGATGAAATTATCATATAAATATAGTTTGTAGGGTGTAATTCATGCAGGTGCTTCAGCAGAAACGATAATTTTCACGTATATGCATGTTTTTAATGGGTATGAGTAAGAAAATTATGAAACAGGGAATTTGCACGATAAATTTTAAAGTTTTAGATGTTTTTCTTTAAAAAAAGGCAAGGAAATGCCTATAGAATTTGTTTATAACATTAATATAACATAAACAATGCAAAACATGTATGAAAACATCGAAATTGCATTGTTTACAAGTTAAAACAGCAAAATATTTTTAAATTTTTATTCAAATTCAAATATAGTTCTAAAATATGACGACAGATGGCGTTACGATGCACGTTTTGAGTTAAAACTGCACTCGACTGACTATCTTCGGATCACACGATTTTATCAGTTGGACGCGATTATTTTTTTGTTGCGTTCCTTAGAATGTAAACACTAGCTGTGTTTGAAGATTTAATAGTAAACATAGTCAGTTCTGCGCGAGTTACGACAATAACACGTCGTACATTTTATAGTTACGCGTTATTTCTTTAAAATTGTGCTGTTATTAATTGTGTTTTTGAACTATAACTACAACAAAACCAAAAATTATACCCCGAAGACTTATTCAGGTAATAATTTTATTCATATTTTAACCGTGTTAAAGATTTATGTGATTTTGGTCGAGTAATTTTTGCGTAAACAACATTTTTATTCATTTCTCAGTCGGTTTTTCACCGTTTCATGCAAATTCCCCATTGTAGCGACCATCTACGTGAAATTAAACACTAAAACACAACAGCAATGTACTCACCAAAGATATCAGTTCTCGCAAAATGTTAATTCAGTGTTTAATTTTTTGTATGCGATGCATGAAACAAACAAAAGGTATGATTCAAACCTCGCAATGTGTGTGTGAGCGAAAAACGTGCAGAAAAAACTCCACTCGGGATGTAGACGTAATAAATGTACACGCATTTATTCTCTAAGAATACCTACGATCGACCCCGCGGGTGATTAATTCGAAAAAAGCGCTGCGAATTACTTTACAGGCCTTGATTTAATTAAATTGAGCGTTATCTGAGCGTGAATGATAAATTTGCGACGCAACGCAAGCGCCGCTTGAATGTATCGACAGCAAAAAAATATATAGGGTTTCTTATAATTACCCAGCATTAATCGCCGGCGCGCCACGGCAAAGGGCCTATTTTTTGCCAGTGTTTTGTTTAATCTGACGGCGAGCGCTCGATTAATTTTGATAAATTTGAGTGGGTGCTTAAAGCTATCGCGCTCGTTAAAACTCTCGTGCTGTCTAGTGAGTGTTGTGTGTTAATACTGACGAATTGCTATTACATTTGGCACCGTTCCTTCAATTCAATTCATTTTTTTTAATACACGATTACAAAAATACAAGTTTTGCTCATTTCTTGAGGGGCATGAAATGAAAGCGATGCTCAACTGTCGTTTCCAGCCAGGTTGAGCATTGCTTTCATTCAGATCGGTTAATTCTGATGATAATACACGTTGATAAGCCTAAGAAACCGCCACGCACGGTGGCGGCTGTAATACTGACGGATTGAGATTGTGTGTATAATATAATATCTCTTAACGAAGACGTGCGCAGTTAAATCCTAACACTTTCAATACTCTCGAATAGAATAATTGCAAAATCAGCGTTATACTCGTGTTATGCTCTCATCGTCTAGCAGCTCTGCGAAATTATCTCGAATTGTATTCGAGCGTGAGCGCTCTTACCTCTTCGCCGACGGTGCTCGGATAGGACCGCGATGAATCCCGGGGCTTTTCCAGCGAGAAAGTGTCCTCTGTCGTCTTGCGGTAGACCGGGTTGTCGAAGTTCATCGACGTCGCATTGCGATTGATGTAGCGTCGGTAAACCGCGTAGCAGATCTAAAACCCAAGTCAAAATCGCATGTTAAATGTGATTTCTAATTAAGAAACGTATTGATTACTTACCCCCACGATTAGTATGACAAGTGCGAGGCAGACTCCTATCGAAATGAAGGCAATGTATCCGGGTCGCAACCCGCCCTCAGTTTCTACATTAATAGGTCGCGACGTGTTTGACGAACCTGCAAATCAAAGCAATTGCGAATTAGTCACATGATTATTTCGATATAAGTTTTGTAACAAGCGTTGGAGGTTGAAACAGCGGAGAAAAGACGAGTCCCATCACCTGAAGCTACAAATTCTACAAAAACTACAAAATCACACGCTACTCTTTGGTTTTTGTTTTTGGTTTAATTCTCGTTGGTATTAGTTTTAAGTACGATTGTTTGTTATGTAAACGTGAAGGTATAAAAAAGTAAAAGCCCAAGACCAAAAGAGGTGTTTGTGGGTGCGTCCAAAGCCAAAACCCGTTGTACTCACGAGTGTGCTCTTCAACGTCATTCTCATCATCGTGATGCACCGTTGGCATTATTGTCGTCGTCGTTGTCGTCGTCGTGGTTGTCACTGATAATAAATTAAATGATTGAGAACAAAAAATAAAAAATAAATGATTCTCATCAGTCATTAATTAATTACTCGCAGACGCAACAAGTAATTTTAATGATTCTTTCACCATTACATTCAGAATTAAATTTGGCATCAACCATATTTTTTTAAATTAATTTGGTTGAAAATTGATCGTTTTACAGTCAATTTATAAAAATTTCAATATTTTATGATGTTTTTTTTACGTTTTTGTTTATAACTATTCATTAAAAATTATTTATAATGAAATATTCGCTGTGGTTGATGCAAAATTTAATTCTGATTTGAATGATGTATAAATCATAATTATACCTCATCGCATCACTGAGTAATCAATGAAAAACCGCATGAAAACATGATTGAACTGATCGGTGCGCAAAATAAAACAACATGTAGACAAACAAAAAAACATTTGCGGTCGCCCCGAATATCGCTAGCAGCAAGAAAAGGCAAATAATACTCACTGTCTTGCACGCAAGTTAATCCGTCCGCTAACATCCGCAGTGTTTCGGGACAGGCGCAGGAAATCAGCGCCGAACGCTCGTTGATCTTCGGCGCTGGCAGACACAGATGCGAACAATGTCCATTCACCGCTTGGCAGTGATTCTCGCCATCTGGCTGCCGATACGGATGGTAAACATGTATCACCATCGGGTTCTGGATCATATCCGTCGCTGTAATGGGCCGCAATTCTTCTCCGGTGAATTTATTCGCTTTGAAAACAGCTGCCTTGTCCCAATCAGTCCAGTAGATCCAGTCTTCAAAGGTACTGATTGAGAATGGGTGTCGGAGAGCGTAGGTTGAGTACAGGACCACTCTACGATTGTGTCCTTCAAAGTCGCAGGATGAGATGGTGTAGAGCTTAGCGTCCACCCAGTAGACACGTCGTTTTACAAGATCCAGGGTGAGACCATTGGGCCACTTTACATCATAGGCGACGATGGTTTTACGATGGGTACCATCCATACCAGCTTTTTCTATCTTGGGTTCACTACCCCAGTCAGTCCAGAACATCCAACCATCCATAGGGTGAAGAGCAATTGCTCGAGGTTCTTGAAGACCACCACGAATGAGCACTTTACGCATTGACCCATCAAAGTTAGCTAACTCGATGGTATTCTTCCCGGTATCAGTCCAATAAATATGGTTGTAGATCCAATCAACAGCCAATCCATCAGACGTGGTTAAATCATCACTGATGACCACCTTCCGGTCGTTACCTTCATCAATCGGCGCCTTGTAAATCTTCTTATCTGTAACATCCGACCAGAAAATCATCCCGGTCCTGAAGACAAAATCTAAAGCAGTTGCAGAATTGGTTTCGTTGACTATTGAGGTCATTTCATGATGATCCAAGGAAATCTTTCGAATATCACGCCGACGGGCGAATAGAAGCGAAGCATGACCTTCGGTGGCTTTGCACTTGGTCAAGTCACGTGGGTCACGCATGTATCCAGCGAGACATTCACACTTGAATGAACCCACGTGATTGATGCAGTTCTGGGAGCAACTGCCTGGTATCTCACACTCGTTGATATCTGCAAGCATTAACAGCGATTATTGATTAAGGTGTCATCAGGGTCAACCCGATAGTTACCTTTGCAAGTCTTGTTGTCAACCAATTTGTACCCTTGATTACAATCGCAGTAGTATCCGGCCGGACTGTCGACACACTTCTGTGAGCATCCGCCATTATCAACGAGACACTCATTCTTGCCGCAATGCTGCTTGGGTTCATCCTCCCATGCGGGGCAATCCTGTTTACCATCGCAGACTTTACTCAGCGGAATGCAGTTGTTCTGTCCACAATCGAATTGTGTGCGTGGGTCACACTTGGGTGAAGGTGTACCGCAGTCTTTTTCATCTGAGCGGTCGGGACACTCGGCGATACCATTGCATTGCATGTGACCGGGTAGACATGTGCGGTCCCCGCATTGGAACTGCTCACTGGAGCAGGTCACATTCGGGCAGATGGTTTTCAGTTCATCGGAACCGTCCGTGCAGTCTTTGACACCGTCGCATACCCAGTCTTTGTGGATGCACGAAATGCGATCGCCGCATTCGAATTCGTTGGCGGTGCACATTGTCTGCGAGTGTGCGGCTTGCGGGCAGTCGTGTTCGTCTTTACCATCGGCGCAATCGTAATCACCGTCACAGCGCCATTTCTTTGAGATGCAGTAGGTTTCCGTGCATTGAAACTCGCTCTCGGAACATGTTACATTCGGGCAACCTTTTTCATCGGATTTATCTCCGCAGTCGTTGTCCATGTCACAGACCCAACGATGGGGGATACATTTACCGTTGCCGCAAGTATATTCATCAGACCGACAAGTTTCATCTGGATGTAAAAAATAAATAAAATAATTTTTGCGTTTTTTGAGATTATAATCACAGGTTTATCACGGTACTTACTGCAATTTGCTTCGTCGCTCTTATCACTGCAATCGGAGTTGTCGTCGCAGACCCAGGTGAGCGGAACGCATTCACCTTTGGCGGTGCGGCAGGTGAACTCATCGCTGCCGCACACTTTTTGCCCTGCAAGCAAAACCATCAAATAAAACCCGGTGCGCTATCTAAGCTCACCACGCTGGTTGAAGGGTGCGGAAAGAAGTGTACGATATGCATCGTAAGGAAGTTGCAGGAGTGTTCCGGAGTGTCGCGGGACGCAATCATCATCATTACGGGAGGTCTTTAAAATTGAGGGCAGTGGAGGATTGAGGGGTTGGTGCACTTACGGCATAATAGCTCGCTCTCGTCGCTGCCATCCTGGCAGTCTCTCTCGTTATCGCACTGCCAGTGCGACGGGATGCAGCGGCCGTTGTTGCATCGGAACTCGCTCTTTCCGCATGGCTCTGCAAGGATAACAATCGGTTTATTCCGGGGAACACGCGCGGAAAAAAATAACAAGCTTAAAATAAAGTTATTTCAAGGAGAAACAATGCCATTTGGATGTAAAATTAATTAAAATGTCTGTTTTGCAGTTTTCATGGAAATAGCTTAAGGTCCTGGGGGTAAATTGCGTTAAAGTTTTGCGTACTGACGTCGGGCATAATTAGCTCGTGATTTGCCTTGGATTTTATATTTTTTTAAATAAAATCGCGGAATTTTTTCAAGGAAAAAATACAAAAAAATCGTTTTTTAAATTATAAATTAAAATATCTTACCAAAACAATTAATAAAAATGTTTACAAAATATTGGTACATTTGCGCAATAAGATTTTAAACTGATAAGTTTTTAAATTTCTTGTTTTGATCAAAAAATGTTAATTTTATGAGCAAAAAACTAATTTTTTTTTAAAGAAAACTAACGAAAAATATAAATTTTTTTAAGACTAAACCGACATTTTCTTGCTCATTTTGGCCAAAGTTTAATATTCAAAGTAAACCTACTTGCACAGAATATTAACATTGTTTTAAATGTTGTGACTGGTTTTGTTTATAAACCAAAACCCACACCGCGACGCGAAAATCACGTTGTTGCAGTGAAGTATATTTAATGCATACGCAATTAAGTCCTTGCGCAACACGCCCCACCCTGCAGCGTATTAAAAGGATATGCATGCAAGTCATTATTATGTTATTACATTAATAACGCCGAGATAATTGCATCTTGTGCACTTAGGCGCCGGCGAGTGAGTGCGCGCGCGGGGGCCTTTGATTATAGAGCACCGCGGCGACGGCACGACGGCGACGCTGATTAAAATTCAAATCGCAATTCATATTCAAATCAATTATTATTATCCTGTGCGCGCGGCGGTGCAACCTACATATTAACGAGCATTCATTCCTCCTCGCTTACAAGGGCAAAGAAACATTTCTTCAGATTTCAATAATAACAACAACAGATCATTAATACGCAAATAAATAGTTTTAATTAAGTTTGTTGTGTTTGGAGGAGTGACGGTCACTCACTCCGGTTGTTTATTAATATTGCGAAAGATGTTTTGAAGCTGTGGATAGAGTGGAGTGGACTCAGATGCAGATTAAAGTTTGGTTTTGGCCAAGACACTGAATTATTCATTGATTTTTTTCCGCTTGGTTGCATATCTCTTGCCGCCTCTTGCGTTGTCCTCGCAAAGTTTTATTTTTTTTAATTATGGCGAGCGCAGCGCGCGCACATCTTGGCGTTAATAACGTAATAATTAAAAAATATGAGCTGGGAAATGAACAGAACAAGTTTCGCACAGCGCGCAAAATGAAAAGAGATGAGAAAAACGTAAGAAAATTGCGATTAATATGAAGAATCTTTCATTAATCTTTCCTCGCGCTTCGTGCTCGGTGCTGAATTCGTGTTTTGCATTCAGAACTTTTAACCTTTCGATGCAGATAAATAAAAAGCGCGCGCAAGAAGAAAAAATTGTGAACAATTTGTTTTTCCGGCTTTTTGTGCGCCATGCTGTACTTTAAAGTCGCGCAAAGGTAAATCGGAAAGTGTATCTAAATATGGAAATATCGTCCATCAATCGCAAATGCGCGCCGCGCGGAGCGCGTGGGTAACGAGAAAATTGAAACGCTCGCGTAATCGTAAACAAAAGTCGGCGAAAGGAAACACGCGAAAACCATGCGCAACAGGGGAAATTTTTCATGCACAAAGCCCGCAAAGTCTATTGATACATTTTCATGCGAGCGAGCGCCGGAATATGCAAAATCAACATTCGACATTCGGGCGGCAATTTGTTTCGTTTTGTTGCGAGCGAGCGCCGAGTCAAAAAAAATGGAACAAAGTCGATGTGCTTTTTAGCGATCAAAATGGAAACTAACAATTTTTGCTTATTTTTTAAATTGACCTTTTCACCGACAAACACTTTCATTCAATTTATTTTCATATTTTTGCATTCAATTTTCTATATTTTATTAAAATTTATTGAATTTGTGAGGAAAAAACATCATTTTTGAATAAAAGTCTAAAAATTAGATCATTTTCAACCGTTTTAACTTCTATTATTTATTATAAGTATTGTGGAATAATATTTTCTTGTTTATTTGCTTTGAAAATTATATTTTTATCCAAAATTGAAGAATTTAAAAGCAAAAATTGAGTAAAAACACAAAAAAACATTTTCCTATTAAAAATCAAAATATCTCAAAAACTAAAGGTTCTATTGTGTTCAAATTTTATATAACAAAGCAAAATATAATTTTTTATTATTAATTCCTTGAGTCTCAAGTTTTTATCAATAATTATTGATTTTATTACCAAAAAAACACATTTTACTCACCGAAATTTTAAATGTTTCCAAATTATCATCAAAATAAGCCCCACCGGATATTAAATGCACTTTAAAATTAACTCTGTACGATCAAACATGAAAATAAACGCACATTTGTATCAGCCGCGGCGCGCATTTCCGCGTTACGGGCCAGTAACATTTTCAATGTTTAGCCGAGCATGATGAACCATGTTGACAAACATGTCGTCATAAATTTCTAACCGTATTTGTCCGAACTGCGCGTCGGCGCTTTATCTCGCTCGCGCGTGCTCAATTAATTGCGAAAAAAATTAGATGTGCACATTGGGTGAAATTGCGTCGCGAACTCGAACATCGTCGCCGATCACGATGATGAAACATTCTCACAACACACAAATACAACGGCACGTGAATCAACGACGCATAGAAACTGCATTCAGCGTAACCTTGCGCTGAAAAGCACGCATGTATCAGAGTAGCTTATCGCAAAATGTTGTTAACAATAAATAATTATAGTTTCGTATCACATCCACTCGCAGTGCATTGACTGTACATGTACATCAACTGTCTGCCAATCAGAAAAATATTTTTATCGTGTATAAAGTCTAGTATTTGACGCGCTTATCGAATTGTTTCGCATTTCGGCATTTCGCATTTATTCATGCGATTAAATCGTATTTAAAATACACGCTGCACAATGTGTGCACGCGAATTTAATTAATTAATACATATTATCAATATACAGCTCCCGTATGCGCGCCGAGAAGCGTTCGGGCCAATGATTTGGTGAATTTAATTAAATTTTAAACAAGGATAAGTGTCGTCATGCGCTTGGTGCGCGCCGGCCGCAGATCCGCATCACACATCGCTAACGAGGCGCGAGCGCTGCAGATCCATTTCGAAATTACTAAATTACAACATCATTAATTAATTTTCGACCGCATATCAATATAAGTATTCCAATATCTACTGATCGGGGCTTGTGGTATCAATATGCTCGCAGTCGCAATGGAATAATATTTAGGGAATATCTTGTTGTCGAGGCTTTTCCACTGAATTTCATTTCGGCGATTCGCTATTTTAATTAATTCGGGATTTACGGTAAATGCAAATATTACGCTGTGATTAAAAATGATTATTTGTTATTGTTAAATGTTCAAAAATTCATTTTAAATCACGAAATATATATTGATATCGTTTTTAATTAACTGCAAAGTAAGTTTTACATTTATTTCGGGATTACAATATTAATATCTCGATTTGGGGATTATTTTATTGATAAATTTTAATTATGTGAATTATTTGATACTTTAAAAGTGGTATTTTAGTGAAAAATGTAAAAAATTACATTTTGTACGTAAAAATGTTAAATTTTCGCGTTTATTTAATTTCCATGGAAATATTTTTGATATTTATCGATCACAAAATGTAAAGGATAATATTATATATGATTTTGCAAAATTTCATATCCATATGTTTCGTAGTTTACGAGAAAAACGAAATTTTAATAGTAAAAGTAGTAAAAGTGACCTTTGCCAATGGCGCACATCTTGAAAACGCTGACTTTAACACTAATCTATAAATATAACTAATATGCGCACTAATCATAAATTAATTTGAACTCATTAACTACATTCAGACGAGATAAGATGTAATAAATGACGTCGCTGTATTTCCCATGAAATTTACTAACAAATTCTTCATTTTAAGACAAAAAAATGTCAAAATTACTAAAAAAAAATCTAAAATATTTCTTACCGTCGACGGTCACTATAGCACACGCTGCTGACGAGATGCACAAAGCAAACCAGCAAACTTTGACCAAACTCACGGCCATTTTGCCACGCACAAAAAAGAAAAACAACCAAGTAAAGGGGCGCGCGCGCGCGCGTCACGCTGAAATTTTAATCTCGACGCTGGTGATTGTTGAAACTTTTCGGTGGTTAATTAAAATTAAACTTTGGAGAGTAGCGAATCGCGTTGTTTGCACAGTTTGCAGCAGCAGCGAGAGCAGCGAATCTAACACGTCTTAACACTTTGGGGGTCACACACCAGCAGCACAGTGGCGGTGGCGGCGCGGATGTGTCGCGTTTTATGCGTGCGGGCTGCTCTGTTGTGCCCGGCGGGAGAGCAGATAAACGCAAAACTCACGCGCCGCTCACTATCGCAAAGAAATGTTGAGAGAAAATAATATCAGAGCGAAAATAAAAAAGAACGCACACGCCAAGTAGTGAATACACCAGTTCGCGTAAGCGTAATCAATTGCGCTGCACGCGGAGCGGAAAAATCAAAGGCGCACACGCGAATCGATGCTCGGAGATAGATGTAATATTCGGGTTCCGAGTAAAGCACTGAAGATTCAGAGACGTAGAAGCAGTAGAGAGGTGAATGAACATTTTCTTTTATCGACGCGATTCTAAAGGTGAACGTATACGTGAATAAAACGTCGTCAAAACATTTTTTGACGCTGTGTGCAAGCAGGATTAGATTTTTGTATGTCTACGAAAGTTTTCGACAAATATAATCCTAGCAATTTTTCGTCAAAGCCTTGGATTATGTTTTTATGCTGAAATTAGTAAGAACATCTAGTATTAACCTTGTTTGTGGGCGTGTGTGGTAGTCTTTAGATTATTTTCTTTATGCGCCAGGCAGTTTTCACCATAAACAGCGCGACGAAGATGGAAAGGGGGGAAAATGTCTTAGAACGGGGGCCGTTATGTCTGATGTAATATTGGCAGTGTTTACGTTGGATTTATCGACTTCTTGGGACATCAAGACGTCGTTTACTCGTTTAGCGCGCGCAGCCGTCCGTCGATTTGTATTGAGATCGATGATGAAACTTTATCACTATCATGATCACCTTTTTTCGCGTCTTCTACGCCTCGTAAAACCACATTACGTACATTTACTCAACATTACGTACATTTTGTTACAATTTGTTCAATTACTCTTCAATGCAATGGAATATCACAAATATTAAACTTTTATATTATTCTCTAATATTTTGTTTATTTATATACAAAATTTCATCGTGATCGGTTGTGTTATCATTGAGTTATCACGTCACAAACACACACAAATAGTCCCGGAATAAATATGTTTTGTTTTTGCTCTCAAACGAAATTAAATATTAAACAAAATTAAGCGGGTTTAATTTTATACAAACTGTGACTATATTCTTACTGTTTTATTTATAAATTTATAAATTTATAAATGTTTGTTGTTTAAGCTTAGCGAAGCTTATAAAACGCATTTTGTTGCAATTTGACTCAAAAAATAAAACGAGTTAAACTCTGCTAAATTTATAACTCTGCGGATAACTAATTAAATTAACGTTTAGGAGTTAAACTCGTGGCGCGCCCTCAATAAAATCCACCGAGGGCGAAAAGTTAAACTTTCAACTTTAACTTTACAACTTTAAATTTAGTTCGCGATGTACGCGAGTAGTTGTGTAGTGCTGGTAACATTGATGCGCGTTTTCTTTGAGGCAATTAAATCGCTCCCGGGGCGTTATCGCATGTTGGCAAGACATTTTTCGCCCGGGATGATGATGAATGTTAGGGTTTTCTACACTCACCGGAAGCGAAGTTGCACATCTTGGGATTCTCGTCACTCTTATCGGCGCAGTCCTCCTCGCCATCGCACACCCACAGCTTGGAAATGCATTTTCCATTGGCGCATCGAAACTGGCTCATCGTGCACGCGGTCATGTCTGCAAAAAAGATAAAAAATTATTTTTTGTTTAAAAGGTTTAATTAGCCGGGCCTCTCAAAATATTCTTGTAAGTCAACTTGAGGATGACTTAATTAAAACTCAATTATAACTCGTAAGCAGCGGCGGCGGAGTCTAAGACCCCGAGAAGGGGACGACAACTATAACGAGATGAAAAGCTGCGCGGGCGCAGTGCCCTCGGGAATATCGTCTGCTCGTCTTTCGGGGTCCTTGCTGCTGCTGCGACGAAATAAAGCGACGCGGCCAAAGTTTGCGACACTTCAATAACTCTCAATGCGTTGCGAATGACTCGCTTTCGGTTAGTTACAATTACGCCAACACCACGAGGGTGAATTATTCTTGGCGAGTAGTTAGTTATTCTGATGCGAGGATGGGAATGAAGATGGATGCGCGCGATATCACTATCTGTAAATAAAGAATAATGTTTTCGCTTCTCGGCTGCGAGCGTGGGGGTGGGGGTTGATTTTGGTTGTTGAGTTTGACGAGCTGAACATTGAACGAGGGTTAGCATAGGTCCACATCCCCAAAGTCGCCAAGGGTGTAAATTGTAAAAGCACCCGCGGGTAATGTTTGAACCGCTATGCTGTAGATACAACATGCCCGCCTGCAACAACACACAGCCAACGCCCGTACATTAATAATTATAAAAGGGATGCAGCCCCAACGTAAAATATAAACTAAAGTGTTTTCGGATATTGAAGTTTGAAGATACGTGGAGGATGGGTCAGTTGATTGCGTTCTTAAATGTCCGCCTACTTAATGGATAAGATATAAATCAGGTGGAGGGATGGAGGAAAAACAGATGGGATAAAAAATAGCCTGAGCTAGGCAGAGTTGGGGGCTGATAAGAAAAAGAAAGCAAAAAGCGTTCACGTTTTCGGGGTTTGGAAAAAATTGCGCAAACGTGCTTAAACCTACAACCAGCGGAAATACTCTGCCCCCGCAAACGAACAAAAAGTACAACCTTTTTTGAAACGAGGCAGAGAAAAAATAAGCTTTTCAATGATTTCTGCATTCAGGCTAGGCGGAGAGCAAAAAAGAAATATAAATAATTGTGTTACGTTAATGAGCTGTTGATGAAACGTCTTTAATTTCGGGTTAATGCCTTCGAATATCAATAAAAAGCACGGCGGCAACTTTGGAGGGCCGAAAGTTGAAAAGCCAAACGGCAAGGCATGAAAAACAGCGAATCGGTGGCGAAGTTGGCAACAACTTTCGGCAACTTTGATATAATAACCGTAACGATGAGCATAGCTTCGCGTGCTTCATTAATTTTAATAACAACTGGATATAATTATTCGCCGGATGTTGCGCCTAAGATGCTAATAAATAAAGTTTTTTTTTTCTCGCGTGGGTGGAAGGGGAATATCTTTGGAAAAGTGGGATTTATGCCTAAATGTGACGGTATTTTAAAAATTTAAAAAGGTAGTAATTTTCGCACATAATGTCGCTTTAAGTTATAATTATGTTTGGTTGGGATTGACTGTGTTTTCACTGATTAATCGTGTGATAAAGTAAAAATTACTGCTTTTGTAGGTAAAAACTTCGAATTTTGCTAATAACTTCCGTAAAACAGAACATTTTAAAAATATGAAGATGTAGGATCATGTACAAGATCTCTCTTTGTGTCCTTGTCAATTTTCATCCTTATCGGATGTGCTATCACTGAGTAATCGTATGATAAAGTAAAAATTTTGCTCATTATTTCCTAAAAACAGAATATTTTAAAAATCTGAAGATGGAGAATCATGTACAAGATCTCTCTTTGTGTCCTTGTCAATTTTCATTCTTATCGGATGTACTATCACTGAGTAATCGTATGATAAAGTAAAAATACCGCATTTTTTTAGTCAGAAGCTTCGTATTTTGCTTATTATTTCCTAAAAACAGAATATTTTAAAAATCTGAAGATGTAGGATCATGTACAAGATCTCCCTTTATGTCCTTGCCAAATTTCATCCTTATCGGATGTGCTATCATTGAGTAATCGTATGATAAATTGAAAATACTGCATTTTTTCAGTTAATATCCTCGAATTTTGCTTGTAACTTTCAAAAAAGAAAACATTTGAAAAAGCTGAAGATGTGAGGTCTTGCACAAAGTGTCCCTTTATGTCCTCGTCAATTTTCATCTTTATCGGATGTGTAATCACTGAGTAATCATCAAAAAAAGAAAAAAAATCCCAAATTTTCTTCCATAACTATGACAATATTTCATCATTTCTGTGTAAATTCTGCATTTGCAATGCATATCTTTGGCTAGCGTTGTTTGAGCTTTCGTAGCTTTCATTGTGAAGGAGTTTTCTTTCATTAAAAACATGTTATTAAATCCTTCTGAATGCCGAAGGGTTTTCTTAGCCGCTGCTAAGCGCTGCTGCTTCATCGTCGCTCGTCGCGATATTCAAATATTGAAGCACGTTTAATAATGCAGTCTGTGAGCTTTTGGGCCGAATGAAGATAAATTTCTCGTCCGTTGAAAAGGCCAGCCAGCCAGCCAGCCAGCCGGCATCCATCCGCGTTTACGGCTTTATTTGTTGGCTGTTTTATTATGTGCTGCGCGTGTGTGTCACATGTCTGGTTTCATAATTCAACTTTTATTATACGACACAGCGTCTCATGACCGCACACTGCACACACGTGAATATATTGTGGCGCGCACAATGCCTAGGTCCGGGGAAAAGCGGATGTGTGATTGTGAAAAAGTTATCATATTTTTTCCTCCTCTCGCACATTTTTTTTCTCGAAAAAAAAAAAACTTTTTTATGTTTTGAGGATTTAATTAAAAGTTTACGCGTGCAAAGTGCGAAATTCGCCACGCGCGTTAACGACGCTTAGGGGGATGCGAAAGTTACGCAAGCAGCATCACCACGACTGCGAAAGAAAACGCAATATCTAATGCCAGGTGACATGCCAGCCGCATGTGCGACACACAAAAGCACGACGCAAGCAGAGACGCGTTGTGTACGCGTGGTGTGTGTTTGCGTTACTCGCAATTCCTCCCGGAATATGTACGACGTAAACGGTTGTAAATGAAAGGGATTTCTCTCAATTTGCAGCGTTCGCACATGCTTCGTAGGCGCAGCCGGTGATGGTGTGTGCTCATAGAATTTAACAAAAGCGCCTGGCGTAATAAGCTATTTCTAGGCGGCGCGTGCCTCGTCTTGCGAACGCGCGTATTGAAATCGGAGACAATAAATAAAGCATTAAGTAACTACCCCCAACTGCTGGGTTATCTATGGCGTATGGCGGAGAATCAATAATCAAGTGTTTAGCCGTCGGGAAGTGTTTAACGATAGACAACAGAAAAACAACATTAGTTTCGCGTGTTTTTGTCTGTTTATCTATCAAATACATGTCTGATAAGGGTGAAAATTTCTAGGATGGTAAAGATGGACTTGATTGAGGTTATCACGTCTAAATTTTATCAAAATATTGTTTAGTTTAATAATTATGAACAAAAATGTAAAAATAATTTCGCGAAAGTAGTGTTTTTGTATGTTTAATTCGTGATAATTTATTGATAACGCGAGTGATTACAGTAAAACTTTGTACGAAGGTAAAGAAAGAGTGACTAAAAAGTATCCCGTTTTTAATTCTTTAAAATTTTGTTTAGTTTAATAATTAGGAAGAAAAATGTAAAAATTATTTCGCGAAACTAGTGTTTTTGCATGTTTATTATGTGATATCTTATTGATAACACGACTGATTACAAAAAATATTGCACAAAGATAAAGAAAGGATGTCTAAAAACTATCCCGTTTTTAATTTTTCAAAATTCCTATTAGTTTAATAATTATAAACAAAAATGTAACAATAATTACGCAAAACCAGTGTTTTTGTATCTTTAATGCATGATAATTAATTAAGTACACTACTAATTAAAACAAAATTTTACACAAAGATAAAAAAGAGTGTCTGAAAAGTATACCTCTTATAACTTTTCAAAATTCCAGTTAGTATAATAATTATAAACAAAAATGTAAAAATAATCACGCGAAACCACTGTTTTTGTATGTTTATTACTTAATAATTTATTGATAACAAGACTGATTACAACAAAATTTTGCACAATGACAAAGAAAGAGTGCCCAAAGAATATCCAGTTTTTAATTTTCAAAACTCCGTTTAGTTTGAGAGTAATTACAGATTTTCACCGGGCTTGTTAAAAATTAAACTAAAACAAAGTCTAGAATAGCATCGCGAGTGTTTAATTACACGCCGTAAAAGCAAAAGCACCACGAAACACGCCAAACAAGTCATAAAAACTACTCTCCACAGTCTCCATCAGCGCAGTCCGCCGGTCTCCTGAGTTTGTAGAGTTTGCAGGGAACTCTCCAACTCGAAGAATGAAGGGTCGATTTGTCTTGTTCGTACCTTGCGACCTCGTAACTCGGCGCGCGCGACGACTTGGAAATAGTTGGTCGATGGTGTGCTGCTGCTCATGTCGCGTATGTGTATTCGGCTTTTTCATACACCTACACACACACACAGCACACAAACCGCATTCGTGTGTTCGGCTTTCTGCCATTGTTGATGTTGACATTGTTAGAGACGAATGCATTGTTGTCGCGGCCTACGCCCCTCGACGCCATTCGAATGACTGCACGTAAAAGCAAGTTGAAGTCTCAAAAATGTAACTTCAAAACGTGCATCATCTAAAAATACACCTTGTTCTTGTTCATTTGAGCTCCAGACGGGTTTCCCTGATGGCGGTTCAATTATTAAATGGTTCTGAGTGCATTCTCTTAACCCCGGAGGAAAATACGACGGTGTGGATCATTTTTTGTGGCGTATGCATTTTTTACGCGAACAAAAACACTGCGCAAATTGCGAAAATAGCAAATGTGGGCAACTTTGTTGACGGTAAACAAGCAGGGCGTACCCGAACCTTTGTACGCCGGGTTGTTATTGTTTTATGTGACCCTGTTGACTTTATTAACTAAAATTCAAAATTTAAAACAATTTTCGATGTTTTGTCGAT